TACTGCTAGTTCAGTCGGACAGAAGGTAATGAAGATTGCGGCTTTAATTATTATATCAGAAGGTCAAAATCAGAAGTCGAAAATGATCCGAAACTTCAAAAGTACAAAACACATTAGCTTTAAAGTGACTGTAACGTATCAAAGGTAAAGAATGAGCTGCAGCAGAATGGACGCTCATAATGTTTTATTGTTATCGCTGATGCATTAGTTTTATTATTTGCTTTATTTTACTGTGCTATCTTATTTCATAATGTTGAGTAGAACACCCAATGCATTATTCAGGACGTTTGCTCTATAAAATATTCAAGATGTTTTTCAGTATAAAGTATAAAGAAGCATAAAATGGAAATAAACACAGAAAAGTGCGCTTAAGTACAGTACTTGAGTAAATGTACATATTCATTTCCCACTACTGGTTATATCTATTTCTATGTATGCAAAAAAGAAATTCCCTTGTTTTACTGGCAGCTTTTCATGTATATCTGACCTCAATCTATTCCCAATTAAAGTTTAATATTAACTGTAGCTCCAGGACGCACTGCCCGAATCTTTACCACGATTGTTTCACCAAATTTAATAAATTTTTTTTGAGAATGAAAATTGATTCTTGATGTTAGAAATACTCCCACTTCCAGAGCTTTTTACTCACAGCGCGTTCCTCAGAGGAGGAGGCTCGCAGTTGTCATGGAGATAACTTGTCCTCGAATGACCTCAGTGTGGAGTTAGAGTTCCATGACAACAGGTGATGATAAATCGGGGTTAACATCTGACAGCACAGACTGTGAGATGGGCTTAAAAGGTCCAGAAAAAGCTACTCGTAAAACCTTGAGTTTTTTTTTTTGTCAAACTACTGAGACCAAAGTTAAGAATGAAACTTTAAATCACACCACAGTTTCCATTCTGTGGCTCTTCTGGAGGTTTTGATTGTATTACATGCTCTTCTTCAGCATATATATACTAATATATACTTGAGAAAGTCACATAACTAAATATGCAGCATAATAATATACATTTATTTTGTAGTTTCAAATAATTACACTTACAATAAATGTTTAAAATGTTGCATTATCTTATCATTTAATGTAATTTTTTTCACTTTATTGTATATTTTTTATCACACAATGTGGATTATGTTGTGTTTTTATGAAAAATCGTACAAGCTAATATATTGATGACTTCTCTTCCTTATTTTAAAGCATCAGTATTGTGCCAGCCAGCGTCCCCTGTGTTCTTGTAAGGATTTACAGTCCTACTCAAATGTATTCATACCCTTCCATTAAAGAAAAGGCAAAATTCACAATAATCACTCAAATAACTAGAAACTTAAAAAAGTAATAATAAATAAAAATTTGCTAAATTATAATTTAGTGAAATAAGACATTGCTTTTAAATTGTGCTTGAAAAGAATAATTTTAAAAAACAAAACTGTCACGGACAAATGACAGCACTTTTCTGATGAGCAGTGGGACAAAATACCTGTTCACAGGTGCAGGAGTCTGATTGAGAGTTACAGAAAACACTTCACTCAAAGGGTTGTTCAAACAAAATATTAGTGTACAAGCCCCATCACGCTTGTTTCCTTGTTTGTTTGTTTTTTAATATATATATACTCTTTAATGGGAGGGTATGAATACATTTGACGAAGACTGAAAACTGTAACTTGTTTTGAATTCCGTTTCATAGAAAACTAGGAGTGACCAAGAGCAGAAAGCCTCAGAAGACTGAGCACACTGGGAGCGTACAGTGCATCTCCCGCCTGCCTCACAAATCTGTTTCTCAAGTTGACCCTTCGAGCGTCCAAAGGCCCCCTTGAGAGTCTTCAACAGGCAGAGGGGATTAAATCAGAAACTCAATGATTCTCTAAAAAGGTCAGCGCTTTCATTGCGTTTTCATTCTATCAGAGCCTCGCGGTTGAATAACTCAAGTCCTCACCAACATCACCACTCAGCCTCCCTGAGGCCAATCAGGAGCTTCGCAGGAGGGCCAAAGAGAGGCTGCGGTTGGTGGAGGCCACCGGGGGGATCAAAGTGCTGCAGCCTTTAGACCTGCTGCTGCTTTTTTTTTTTTTTTTTCCTGCTCTCTAAAGCACTCCTCTGCCACCACTCTTCCTCTCACCTCGGCCATCTCTGGCATGGGAGGGGTTCTGGCCTGTGACGCCGAGCTCGGTACCGTCAAGCTGTGCAGGAAGTGGTGCTGAGTTGAATTAATTAAAGGGTGAGAAAGCCGAGGAGGCCGAGCCCAAGTGCAATCTGGTGCTCGAAGCCACCGGAGAGCAGACGCAGGCCTTTGAGGGGCTTTTGCACGTTGTCAGATGTGCTGATGGCAAGAAGAGTTTAGCTGCTACAGTGAAGTCGAACTGTCATGTAATCTGAACAACATCACCTGATGGGAAGGTTTAACCCACTGAACCACAAAACACACCGACAGGTTTGAGAGGCATGTTGTCGTTGAAAAATAAAATTAAAAATTACACCATTAACCAACTCCAGAAACTGTAAAAAACAGAAATAACTGCCAGATTGTCAACTTTCAAATGGCCCTCAAGCTAAGACCATATTTCATCAAAACCACTTTATTCAACAGGTCTCTTAAAAATTCCCCCAAAATATACCCTTTACTCTCACCAGATTGGGTAAAAAAATAAAAAATTCCATGCCTCCTGGTGCAACTGTGAGGCTATTAGCGACTAAGCTGCAACCAAAAGTGAAGTGATAAAAATTCAGAGACTTTTCAGCTGAACTGCAGGCTGTGTATCACACAGAGAGGATGGAAACTAAAGAAGAAATGCAACAAGAACTCAAATATATGTCATAAGTAGACTGATCACTATTTTTTCCAGTAATAAAAAAAGTTTTGTGCATGTTGATTCCTGTTTGTTCAATTAAAAAACAAATAATTTAAAAAATTTAAAGTTTTTTGGGGTTTTTAACGACTTATGCCATTATAACTGTGTTATACTGCACAGAATAAAACTGTGGGTTCTTTCTGCTTCTAATCATGATTGCGCTGTTTGCAAAGAGGCGCACAACTTCACATTGCAGGTAGAAAATGAGCCTACAGTGAGCAAAAAGATGACAGGAGGAAAAAAACGCCCAGAAACTGCACTGGGTTAGAGGGTCAAGCACACCTACATCAATCAACAAACGCTTTTATGTTGTCTACGTTTTAATGGCTTCATTATTTCAACAGACAAGGCAAAACAACACAACACACAATAAGTGATGTGACACAGACATAAATCTGCGAGGATTAACACAGTGAAGGCCCTAATCCTGCCAAAAGGTAAATGCACACCGCCACCAAACACTTAAGATGACAAGTGTAAGTGTGCTAATTACGCCAAGGTAAAAGGAAGCACACAAAGCCAAAATGCAGCACAGCTGAAACATAAGGCATATTAAAAAGAAGATAATCCCCAAGTCTTCATTTAAAAATTTTTGAAAAAGCACACACATACACACACACAAAGCAGGCCTCACAACAAGCCGCACCTGACTGGTATAATATATCAAGGCAAACGATGACATGTGCAACAATACTGCAAAGAGACCTCTCCCTGCGTCAGCCGCCGAATAAGAATAGTACAAATGAGACAGCGCTGCACATCATTAATCAAGCTATTCTTGGCTGTCAAGATAGCAACACACACACACACACACACACACACACATGCATGTATTTACAGATTCCCATACACGCTGATGTTCTAAAAAATTCACTTTGATTCCCGCAGATGAAAGTGCAGCCATCAAATCGGGCCGAATCTGCCAGGAAAGATTGAATAAAAGAGAAAAATAACAAATGGCACAAGCAACGGTGGCTCCTCAAAACAAGCAGAGAAAAGAGGAAAGAAAGTGTGATGAGATTTGGCTTGGTCTGAAATCTAATTCTTACGCCCAGCTCCCCACAAAGAGAGAAAAAAAAGAGAAAAGAAAGAAAAGAAAAACGCCTCTGCTATCCACACACAGGCCTCTACAGCAGCGTGGCACGCCCAGTTAAAATGAGAGAAAATGATGTGGTGTGTTTCCTCTTTCAAACCCACAGTTTGGATGACCCGGGAGAGACCATAAATCATTCTGTATGATGTAAAAATCACAGTCGTCCCCCCCCTCCACCACCTCCACCCCCACCCGTCCTCTGGCATACCAGAAATGGTTAATGCTGTGATGTAGCCGAGAGGCTGGTGCACCCTAGTGGTGGCTGCCGAATGGAGCTTTAAAGTCCTTCACACCCACTCTGCTTCTGTGTGGAGGCTGCACTGATATTGGATAAAGCTGCAATGTCAATATTTCATTTCTCATTTTGAAATACAGCACAGCAGCAGTAAGCTTTAGCTGTCCACACTGCCTTGTGTACTGAAACCACAGCTTTCTCTCCCCACCTCCCGTAATAACAGCACAGAGAACATGACACAGACTCATAATCCAGTTAATGGGGGAGACAGAGGGGAGGCAATTTTCCACATTCCCTGAATGTCAGAGATGAGTGTGGAAGGAGACGATTAGTGGTGGGGAGATAGAAAGCGATAAAGGAGGGCAGAGCCGACCGCAGCTCGCAGTCCATCAGCTGTTCTTGACACTGTCAATTAGGTATGACTTTGGTGATTACGAGAATTAGAAACTGCGGTGGTTGCCGCGGGCCGGAGCTCAGCCCTGCTTTATGGTTCTGCTCAGAATTAGTGGCTAAGTAATACGGTAAAGGATTACCGCTTATCGGGGTGAAACATCTCTCCTCTCCTGTTCACTTAAGTTTCATAAAATCGCATTTAATTCAGTGTGCGTGACTCTGATTACTGCCTGCAGTGGTACAGTGAAGGGTTAAGGGAGGCTGTGTTAGTACAGTGAATCCACGGGGGAGGACAGCCACACAAACCTGAGCCAGATTTAGCCCACATCTCTCTTAGTGTTCCTCCCAAACCCTCATTGTAAAAGAAAAAAAAAAAGTGACAACACTGCTCAGCTGATTCAGACTGTGTGGATGGTCCGCTGCAGCATCTTTACCTGTGAGCTTCTTCACTGGCTGCAGCCTGACACTGATGGTCTGGTGGGTGAGCAGCGGGGAGGAGGGCAGAGAGCGCGACACGCCCTCCATTATGCGAATGTGCTGCATGCCCTCGGTCATGGAGAGTGGGGGCACAGCGTAGTCTCCTTCAAAGACACAGTCGCTGTCTATGCTGCCACCTGCAGGACGGGAGGAGAAAAAAAACAACAAGGAGTGAGGGATGGGTTTGCTCTGCTTTGAGTGGAGCATTAAAATTTAATGACACTGACACTGTTGGGACAAACGCAGAATCAGTTCCTGCAATTGAAAGCAAAGAGAGGTCATGGAGGAATCTGTATAGATGAGATTTATCTGATAACAGACGTGTCTGAAACAGTCTTGGTAAAAAAATAACACTGTGTGATTCACAAAGGCAGTGTTTGGGGATTTATGTTGCATTTATTGTATATATTTAACCATCCAAACCCACAGATAGGTTTAAAAGGAATGTTTTTTTTGTTTGTTTTAGTTTAAATCACCAAAATTACACCATTTATCACAACCAGAAACTGTATAAATAGAAAGAAATGTTATATTTTCAACTTTCCAAGAGGCCTTGAACTACTCATCTGTGATATGCTTTTTTGTCATCAAAACCTCCATGGCTGATTTTTAAATAAATACCAAAAATGAACCATTTGGACTAACAAGATTCTATAAAAAATTTAAAATTCTGCACTCTTTCACCCAGCTATAAAGTTAATAAGGACTCAGCTGCAATCAAGAGTCACATAACAACAATTCAGGGAGTTTTTGGCTGAACTGCAGGCTGTGTTTATACAAAAGAGACAGGAGACAAGTATGGAAATAAATTATAAATGTACGTAGTAACATATCTATAGTATATAGAGTCAGCACTATTTTTGCAATATTGGTGACATGTGGGTATTTGGAAAATGTTGGACATGTGGATTCCTATTTTTTTAATTACTGCAAAAGAAAAAAAATCAAAGAAATGTAGTTGTTGTTTTTTTCTTTCTTTTTTAGTGATTTACGGTATTGTAACGGGGTCATACTGCACAAAATGTATTTTTTAGTTTTGTTTTCTTCTAGTAATGGTTGTTCTGTTCCCATAGAGATGCAGGACTTTATATTACAGAGAAAAATTAGCCCACAGGAGCAAAAAAGAAACACCCAGAAACTGCCTGGATTTCAAAGGGTTAGTATGAATGATTATATTTAATTTCCTTAAATGGATTGGTTAGTCAGTGATATGTCAAGTTTAGTCAAGAGCGTGTGTTGACTGTTTTTTTCTTTTTTTACATTTACAATGATATGAAACTGAGAAAACCAACAAATCTTCACATTCGAGAAGCTGGATGTTTGACATTTTTGCTTAATAAGTAACAAACAATTGACTGACTATCGCAACATTTTTATGTTGAATGACTAATAATTACAGCACTAGAAGCGTTTGCTGGACGGCTACTGTTTTGGATTCAATTGTTTGTTCAGTTTGCTCACCTGCTGTAGAAACTGTACAGCATTTAGATAGGAGACAGTACCTCAGCTTAGCCCCTGATTTCTGGTATTAGTGCAGCATCATTATTGAGTGGAACAGGACTGACCCAGAAGAGAGAACAGCCCTGAAGGCAACACGTGCAGCTTACATTTACTGTTACAAACTACAGCCTGCCTGACCTCTGCAAGTCCCACGGTAACACAAAACCCCGCAATTTCTATATAATAAAGGAGGATTTTCTAACCATCTGAAATGTGTTTAAACAAACTGAAAAAAGAGCACAGTCATGACCACGAGAGAGTGTTTTATTTACAAAAAAAAAAAAAATGGGGGAAAAAAAAAGCCTCTCACAATGAGCAATAATTACAGACGGAGCATAAACAACCACTCACCATCACTTATCCACCCTCTTCTCCTCTCTTGCTTCAAAAACCACAAATTATGACAACTTAGGGTTTTTTTTTTTAACTTTACACACAAACAGACACTCGCTGGTGGATAAAAAAAAAAAGAAACAGCCAGCTGTCTGTAAACACAACATCCATTTTGTGAATCAGTTTTGGCTCAGACTCCCCCATTTCCCTGCAGACAGGAGCTGCAAAACCAACTGGTCAAGCAACAGTCTCGCATCAGATAGCAGCCGCAAAAGTGAGACAAGAAGCCATTATCAGACACCAGTCCGTGACAAGTCCCCGAGGAGGCCTGTATGATGGTTTAGGCGGGAGGAGGGGGGCGGGAGAGCGAAATCGGCTGCTGTAATGCAAATACACGAGCATAGCAACACTTGCACACATGGAAGAAATATCGCACACACACACTCGTCTCTCTGCGGCTCTGGCAGTGCTGGAGTCAGTCCATCCATTCACTGGGGAATGTCACTGCACTGCAAAAGCAAAAACAACAGCCAGAGCAGCGGTTACATCCCCCTCGCATGGAAATTCTCGGCATGTATGCTAACTCTGGTGTGAATACCAAAGGAGGGGGAGAGCTTGGTATTCTGGTGGCAATTATCCGTAGTCAAGTTCCTACTCGATTCTAATGCGAAGCTGAATAAAAACAAACTATTATGCTTTTATTAACAAATTATTCACCATGAGAGCAAAGAAATGTTTCACATTAACCCTCTGAACTCCTGGAAGGTTCTGCATGTTTTCTCCTCCTGCTGCGTTTTTATTCACTGTGGGCTCATTTTTAACTGCAAGTCCTGTACTTCTATGGAAAGACACAAGTAGAGAGGACTCAAAAATGTCTGACACGTGTATGATGCCACAAATCATATAAAAAAATAAATAAAAGTTGAATTTCTTTGCTTATTTGTTCTATGAAAGTTGAAGATAAATTGGAATCAGCAGCATTTTTCCAGATGCCCACAGGTGTTACCATCCATCCATCCATTATCTCTACACCGCTTAATCCTCATTAGGGTCGCGGGGGGGCTGGAGTCTATCCCAGCTGACTTAGGGCGAAGGCAGGAGACACCCTGGACAGGTCACCAGTCCATCGCAGGGCCACACCCAGAGACAGACAACCTCACATTCACACCTACGGACAATTTAGAGTCACCAATTAACCTCAACATGTTTTTGGATTGTGTGGGAGGAAGCTGGAGAACCCGGAGAGAACCCACGCTGCACGGGGAGAACATGTAAACTCCACGCAGAAAGATTCCGGTGCCCCCACCGGGACGCGAACCGGCAACGAGGCTGCGAGGCAACAGTGCTACCAACTGCGCCACCTTGCAGCCCCAGGTGTTACCAATAAACAAAAAATAAATTGTCGACCTACAAAACATATTTACTGCCTGCAGTTCAGCCAATGTCTGTCAAAAAAATTCAGAATTTTTGTCCCGTGACAGTTGGCAGCAGCGACTTTTTGGTTTTGCAGAGGAATGCAGAATTTTTTTTTGTTTTTTTACAGAATCTGCTTTTTGTAAGCATGACCTGCAGTTCAGCCGAATTCAATCACTGAATTTTTGTCACATTAAAGTGGCAAGGAGTGTCCAATTTTATTTTACTTTTTTTGTAGAGTTAGTGCAAACGGTTTATTTTTTGGTAAATTTGAAAGTGAAACATGTAGAATAAGATGATTTTCATGAAATACGACAATTACAGCCTTAGATTTGTTGAAGTTTTCTGATGAAATGACACGTCACAGAAGAGTAATTCAAGTCTCATTAAAACTATATTGAAAATACAAAGATTGTTTTTCTGCCTGTACAGCTTCTGGCTCTAATAAATGGTGTAATTTTGGCAGTTTTTCGAAAATAACATGCCTTACACACCCACTGGTGCGCTTTGAGGTTCAGAGGGTTAAAGTAATCAACAGAGATGCATAAGTGGTACACAATTAGTAAATGTCATTTCAGGATAGTCTCAAGCAAAAAAAAGCCAGAACGTGTGATTCACTGAAATCAAAAGGTTTATTTCAGGGCAAAGACTAGAGGGGGTGGAGAGAGAGAACCAGCCGCACTTCAGGGATTTAATCCAGAGAACAAGAGCGTTGAAGGGGAAATTATGGTGCTTTATTTTAGACTTTGATAAGAGACGTGCACGAGGACCACATCACGCCTCGAAATAAACACAAACACCTCCTCGTCAAGGTGTTCCGCTCAAAACATGCACGAGTAGGGGGAAAAAAATAAAACACGAAGTTATAATTGTCCAAAACACTTCCTGCCGAGCGCTGACATTCCTGCAGTTGATAAACATCTCGTGTTGTATGCAGCCTATTTCCCCGACAAATAACCAGATTTACAGACAAAATTACAAGAATATAAAATTCATACAGTTCTCTACCCGTAAATATAACTTCATCTTCAGCACTCATAAACTTTTCTGCTATAAAGTCGAATGAAATAGAGTCCAGTAACGAGGCCTCCACGGGTTCCTTCAGTGAAAACATTAAGGGAGCAGAAATAAAGTCTGGAAAGAGCCAAGAGAGAGGTATTACAGGAAATGAGAAGGTAAAGGTGGCGAAAGAACTTGCATGCTTGTTTCAGCGACTCAGCTTCTCATTCACTCACATAATAGGCATTCACACCTCAATATACTCCGTAACAAGCGAGACGACCAGTTATAGCTGAGATTGATTTTGCAAGGCCAAGATTGCAGATTTGATTTGGGAGTTGCGGTTGCTTACCTTGGCCGATGTGGCTCAGGTGAGGGTCTAGACTGGGCGAGCGGGGGTCTGCCAAGTCCTCGCTCCCGCCATCTGCAGACGAGGAGCAGAAAGAGAAAGACAGGGAGTGAGTTCGGTGGTAGCGCGGCGAGGAGGCGAGCAGCAGCGCCACCTCTTCCTCTCCGATCAGCCAGGTGTGGGACCTGAGGACCCCCAGGAGGCTGCTCACGCACAGCCCCTCCACGCCCTTCCTCCTGGGGCCCAGGCGGCCTCTTATGGTGGCGAAGTGGGACCTCGCCGCCAAGCTCCAATTCTTCCTCCTCCCCATTTTTTTCAGTCTAAAACGAGCCCTTCTATCTCTCAGCGTACGGCCTGCCCATGCAGATAACAAAATAGTTTACATTGCAGCCATTGTTGCATGCAGTCGTGTGATGGAGCCACAATCAAGAGAGCTCACTGGGCTCCACGGTTCAATGAGCGCGGACTAGCAGTAAAACAGTGGGCGTTTCCCAGGATAGATCCACATACGGCTAATGATATGAGGATCAATTACGCCCAAGGGAGCAGGCAGGCAGAATTATCCACAGTGGATGGAGCCGAAAAAGAGGGGGGTGGTGGGACAGGGGGGGCAGCATCAATGGGCAGCACAGTCAGTGTCACCGGGGGATTGTTTCATAATCCTGTTGAAGTGCAGATGGATCTACTGTAAAGCAAGACGGGCCAGCAGAGGAGGTGTGGAACAAATGATTTATACTCAGAAAAAAAAACACGACATCCCTGCAGAATTAAGTCAGCTATTAATACAATCTAAACTGAGCTACTTGTGTAAAAACTAGCCTAAGCCGGTGGATTATCTGCGTGTAGATAGATCAAAGATTGCCGCATTAAGCAGAACGGAGAGAAGGGCCTTTTATCAAAAAAAAAAAAAAGAAAAGGGGGATTGTATATTTTGGCCCGCATTGTGTTTCAATCACAGAGCTCACCGTCAGCCCAGAAAAACCCAAACAAATACTCAAGAATTATCTCTCCCATCGCAGATTCACACACCGTGGGCCAGTAGCCACACAGCAGGCTAGATTGGCTCGCTGGTGGAAAGATCAAGCTTGTCGATGGGCAGATAGAATAGGCTGTGGGGCATGATTGTGTGAGAACTGGGCCAGCCTGAGATTGACACTGATTGCGGAAGGGAGTCCTCAGCAGAGGATTTGCAGCTTCCTGACCTGAGCTACCACATCTGGATTAGTCCAAATTTAGTGCCAAATTTAACAGCAGCAGCAGCCAAATTTAAAAGCAGAATTTGTTAAATCCCAACTACACAAAAGACCAAAACACACATCTTTGCTAACTCCTCAATCACTCGCAGCCTCTGCACCAACAAAGCCACCAAAAATAGCTTCTCACCTTGTATACCTGATGAGGCGTATCGTCTAGTAAAATCAATGTTGTGAAAATCAATACGGGCCTTAAAGATGGCGTGCGCCGGCCATGAGCGGTGGCTGCACAGTGAGGCATGAAAATGTACACATGCAAGCACAAGAGCGTGCGACGTTGCGAGTGGAAAGCTCAGTGATACACTGGTGGAGGTTGTGAACACTTGAGCCTGCAGTGAATCTGATGAGCAGTTGAGTTGACATTTTTGAGCCACCTGTTGGTCATTAGACAGATTCAGTAGCGTGAAGTGTAACATCTGGGGCAATATTACATAACAAACCTTATTCTATTCTTATCTGTGGCAAGGCTGACTTCTGAAAACTACAAAAGGGGACTTCTGACGCTGTCTTACATACAGAAAGGAGCTTTGGTGAAGAAAAAAAAAGAACTTTGAAGTTTATTCACGTTGAATTATGTTCCACCAAATGAATGACAAATTTATGCTAAATGTTTGATGACCTCAAGCACTTTCTAGGTGTTTTTTTTTTTTTTCCATTTGTCATGTTTTTTTCTCACTGCGGCCTCATTTTTCACTGCAAATGTAAAGTCCTGCACCTCTATGGAAACAGCAGAACTATTGTTAGAAATAGAGAGACATCTGGCATGTTTTTTATGCAAGATCACAGTGTCACAGTGTCAATAATTAATAAACCTGTAATCAACATATGGGACATTTTTCTAGGTGCTCACAAGTGTTATTAACCCTGGAAAAAATTACTTCAGTTGTTTTTTTTACCAACTCTCTACGGTAGGCCTCTTTCACACGACTCTATCAACACTAGAAAGAACTTTCACCAAGGTGAATGTATCTTCCAGTAACTTGCTGACAAGTGCATTAATTTTAAAGTTCTATTGTCTTCTATTTTGCTCTTTGTCCCTCTTAGTTTCTATAGTCCATAGTCTAATTACTAATCTATTGTTGTACATAGTAGTAAAACACCTGCTTTCCTTCTGTAACCTTCTGCCCTTGTGTAGATGCACGTGTTTTTTATTTTTTCACTATAAGTACTTTGAGAGTAAATAAAACACCAAAGTCAAATATCTTGAACGTGCTCACATTTTTGGCCAACAAAGCTGATTCTGATTACAATTTGTTGCCGTAATTTCCTCCATCTGCTCTGTGCAGAAGCAGTTCACCTGAAAACTATCTGAATACTTGTTGGTAACAGCGGAGTTACCCGAGGCCTTTTTGGTTGCACAGGGAGCGCAGAATTTTTTGTATTTTACAGAATTTTTAAGACTTCTCATGATTGTACACTTCTATATAGTTATTTTCCCCCCCTCTGACAGAACCACACTCTCTGTTTTTACAGTTTCTGGCCATGAAAAATGTTGTACTTTTGTACATTATTTAAAGATAAAATGCTTTTCAAACCCGCTGGCTGGTTTCAGGGATCAGAGGACTAAATTACTTTGTTACTGAGGTTTTGGAGGAATTCCACTCACCACAAATGGGGCTTTACCTCTTTCCTGCTGCCTCCTTTCTCCCCACCACTATTTCCCTTTAGCTCCAGGAAATATATCTTTGTGCCTCTTTTATTCGACACAGAAAGCCCTTATTCTTCTTTGCAGATTGCGCTCTTGTTACCAGCGATCACAGCACAATGTCCTGCCACACAGACCAATGGCCTATTAAGTGTGGAACATGAAAGGGGAGGACCTATGGCTGACAGAAGACGGAGAGATGTTTTCATTCCAGCCGGAGAGACAAACAGTGGACATCATTCTAGTTCCTCGCAGAACATCTGTCAACCACTCGTGGGGGGATACAACAGATTCAGAGTTAGAGCAGATAACCACATCCAGCTCATCTGTAAAAATCAAAGCTTTTGCTTCCTCTGAAGGTAAGAGGCCACCTCCTAAGCCAAAGAAATAACAGTGCACTCACTCTGTTGGCAATTCTCGGCAGCTGTAACGCCACGGCGCTGCGTTAGGATGTCAAAGGAGCAAGCCAATTTCGCACTTGGACAAAGAGTCATTATGGGAGAAGTCAGTGTGACATCTGATAGCGATCCCACGGAGCATGGCGGAGAACTCTGCTATCATTATCGCTCAGACTGACTTTGATGAACCTGCCAGTGTTCGCGGCTCAAAGTGACCTCTGCTCTAAAATGAGGGTTCTTTTTACAGGTACTGTCTGAGAGCGATTACTATAAATTGAAGTCTTTTGAGAACACCTTTGGAGGGGGAAAAAAAAGCTTAAACAAGAGTATTTCAGGGAAAAGCTGAGCAACATTTTTGGGATTTGATTGGCACGCCAGACATCCGCAAACTTTGAATAACTACTCCGGAGACGAGCAGGCGGAACAAATTACAATTTTATATGGATTTAGTTATTTTTCTGCGGCTGATCAATCACGTCATACGCGCAAAGGAGACTCGCCACAAAGCGCAATCAATGCCTTTCTTTCACTTGAGGGAACCTCCGAAATAACAATAGCCAACAATGGAAAGAGAATAAAATTGCAACTGAGCCGTGTAACTGAGAAACATCCCGGATATTAGGAGCCCAGAGAATTGCATCCTTCAGCTCAATGACTTCACGCGCAGCAATTCAGTGTGTGGTTTGCTTCTTTTCTGCCTTTACCTTACTTACTGCCTCTGTGGGACCCTAATGTTACCCTGTTGCCAACTTGTTGTCAATCCCAAGTTTCTTGCCAGGAAACAATGCAGTGCACTAATTAAACGCCGGCTACTTTCCGTGTCACAGCAAATTTTTCTCACCATTTATCAAAATAACAAGTTAGAAATACAGGAAGTCAGAAGCACTTTGAAGGCAGAATTATGAACTATTGTTAGCAGAAATGATATTTTTCTGATTAAATGCACACCTTCCAAGCATTATCCTGGAATCCTATTAAGCATTTCTTCCTCGAAAGCTAAACCATCTTAAAATCTGCCTATAAATCTGACGCAGAAACAGAAGGATCATCTGCGAGCAAAAAATAATAAAACATCCTGACATCTACTTAGCACACGGTAGCCCACACACACAAATAAAAAGCAAATTGCCTTCCATACATCACACGGAGCCGTCCTGCGTGAGTAAACACACCTCAGATACTTTTCCAAAATAGAGACCGATTTGAAGAGTGTTAAAAAAGCACAACTTGAGATTTGAAAAAAAAAAGGTAAATGCCAAGAAGTGAATCAGAACCGAGAGAAACAACCCTCACTGCCAAAACGCAACTGCTGGTGTCACATGCAGGGATTTGAGCAGAGAGCTTAAACAAAACCCAAGTGCACGTCGATGTATGCAAAAGGCTTTTAACTATAAGTTCTTCTGACTAAATTATGAATTGTTTTCTCTACAAAATGTCTTTGTCTGACCAACTCTGACCCGAGGATATTCAGTTTAAAAGAACGAGGGACTTGCAAAAAGAAGCTGGAAGAAGCAAACATTTCACATTTTTGCTGCATAAATTATTGGAGTGATTATAAAACTGCTGCCTATTGAGTTTCTGACAATCAACTAAATATATGACAGATTAATCAACTATTTTTTTTAAAATTCTATTTACGCAGCTGTTACACCAAAATGTGTAATAGCTACGTCAGCCCAAAAATTATGTTCCGAGACATTTTTGTATTGGTTTACTGTCCCTGGTAACCCAGAAAAGAAGAAAAAAGAAGCTTCCAACATGTTGTGAAAGGGTGCTTTT